AGTGATTTGACTAATTTAAGGTTAATCATAATGTAAAAGAACACACTTCGAAAGAAAGTCCAGTGCCATTGGAAAGTTTCCTGGATTTGGTAAAGAAAGATTGGATTGAGCGTATAACATTTAGAATGCAGCTGATGTTCCTCCTATAATAGCACCTGCCTTAAGGGGTGAACGTGTTTATAATTTTGATATGGAGAAAAAGAGTATTTACCTTAACCAGAAAGATAATACTTCAAGTATGTTGAATTTATCGTCATCATTTCTTATACAGGAGATTATTTTCTTCTTGCTAGTTGATACACAAGTGTCAAGTAAAGTAAGAATATTTTCTATAAATGAGCAGCTTGGTTCTAATTATTGGCGTGTGGTCATTTGTGGTGCAGGCCAATTAGGAAATTTAGTATTAACAGTTTATATATATTATGGAGCTACTGTACTGTGTGCCCTTGACCTTTTCCTTTACAAATTAATATTAAGCATGTGGTCATGGTATCTGATAAACACTACCTCTACTACCTGGACTACCAGGACTACCTCTACTACCTGGACTACCAGAACTACCTATACTACCTGGACTACATCTACTACCTGGACTACTAGGACTACCTGGATTACCAGAACTACCAGGACTACCCCTACTACCTGGACTACTAGGACTACCTGGACTACTAGGACTACCTGGATTACCAGAACTACCTCTACTACCTGGACTATCTGGATTACCAGGACTACCTCTACTACCTGGACTACTAGGACTACCAGGATTACCAGAACTACCAGGACTACCTCTACTACCTGAACTACCTCTAATACCAGGACTACCTCTATTACCAGGACTACCTCTACTACCAGGACTACCTCTACTACCAGGACTACCTCCACTACCAGGTCTACCTCCACCACCTGGACTACCTGGACTACCAGGACTACCAGGACTATCAGGACTACCTCTACTACCAGGACTACCTCTACTACCAGGACTACCTCTACTACCAGGACTACCTCTACTACCAGGACTACCTCTACTACCAGGACTAAGGGCTGTATCATAACCATGCTAACATTCAGGTTATCTGGAGTATAAAATCATTAAAATCAAACAGAAATTAGTTTTCATTCCATTTGAGTTCGCGTCGTTATAAATTCTATGTAATCTATGTACACTTTTAAATTTAGTATTTAGCATTTCAGCCAATCGCAAGCATCGATCATATAGCTAGGTACTGACCCCAAGACTAATAAAATAATTAATAAACATGCACCATTAAAGTCCATATCTAAACGTAAAACAAAACAGCTTTTAAAACCATGGATAACAAAGGGCTTACTCAAATCGATAAAGGTGAAAAATAAGCTTTTATCTTCAGGTAACATAGAAACATATAAAATCTATAGAAACAAGATCTCCATTTAAACTCGTATAAATAAGAAGCAATATTATCATAACTTATTTACTAATAATATACACAATATGAAGAAAACATGGCAGGAAATTAATAATTTATTAAATAACAAAAAGGAAAACTAAACATACTATTACTCAAGTTAAAAGACCTAATAATGGTAGGATAACTAAAGACCCATATGAGATTTCTAACATATTTAACAAACATTTTGCAACTGTTGGTGATAAGCTAACATCCCAGCTGCCTTCATCGAGCTTATCATGAATATTTAAAGAGACCCACCCCGTCTGGATCTTTTTCATTCAGTCCAATTACACCAGAGGAAATACAGAATGAAATAGAACTATTATCTTACAATAAAGCTTATGGGTTGTACTCATTTCCAGCAAGAATCCTAAAAAGTGCTCAATCTAGCTGTTTTATCCATACCTCTATCTAGAATTATAAACAGATCAATAGAAATTGGAAAGTACCCGAGTAAGTTGAAATATGCCAAAATTGAACCTATATATAAAAATGACGATGACGAAAATCCAGGAAACTATAGGCCTATCTCTCTTCTCTCAAATATTAATAAAATTTACGAGAAGCTGATGTACAACAGGATTGCCTCTTTTCTGAAAAAGAATACCTTATTTTCTACACAATATGGTTTCTGTGAGAAACACAACACAGCATGCCCTTATAGATATAGTTAGTAAAATTAAAAATAATATGGACAATAAGTTATTTTCTTGTGGTATTTTTATAGATTTACAAAAAGCATTTGACACTGTTAGGGCCATTCCATTTAATATCCACACCCCCCCTACGGATGAGGTCCGTAAAACTTTAACCCCTAAGAAACAAAGATGAAAGTGCCGACACAGAACACCCCTCAGAAATTTGTAAATTTTCCCCTTACCCCTCAGAAAAATCGAAGAGATCAAAGGATGCCGACATGCTTAACCCCTCAGAAACGACTTCTTGAGTCACCCTTCAGAAAAACTCATCCGTAGGGGGGGGGGGTGTGGACATTAAATGAAATGGCCCTTAACCATACAATTCTTCTCAGTAAATTAAATTATTATGGCATAAGGGGTTTTATTAATAGCTGGTTTTGTTCGTATCTCAATGGAAGATCACAAACAACTCAAATAAACTCAAAAATTTCAAATAAAGAGCTCGTATTATGCGGTGTTCCACAAAGCTCAGTTCTAGGGCCTATACTTTTTTAATATATATTAATGATATGCATTATTCATCTATAATTTGCATTTTTCCTTTTTTGCTGATGATACTAATATACTCTATGCAGACAAAAACTTAAAATCACTTCAGAAAGTTGTCAATAAAGAATTGGAACATGTTTCTGACTGGCTAATTGCAAATAAACTGACCTTAAATATTAAGAAATCGAATTATGTCTTATTTCATTTCTCATAAAAAAAGCTTGATTATACTCCTAATCTCAAAGTCTTCGATCATAAATCTGGTACTCGGATTTCGCTTGAATCAAAGACTTATTAAGTACCTTGGTATTTTATTGGACAGCAATTTATCTTGGAAAGCGCACATAGATTATATTAGTTTAAAGATTAGCAAAACAATCGGCATAATATCAAGATTAAGGTATTATTTACCCCTACCAATTTTACTGAACATTTATCGTTCTCTTATATATCCATATTTAACTTATGGACTAGTAGTTTGGGGTCAAGCAGCTCAAATGTATATTAATAAAATTTTAGTCCTTCAGAAGCGTGTCCTGAGAATTATGAACTTCTCAACGAACAGAGAACATGTATGGTGGCCTAGGAATGCCATTAGAAATATCTGTTAACAATTGCATATTTTGTATGAAAAAAATTTAAATGAAAAACATATTAAATAAGAAAAATAAAATAAATATTAAATAAAATATTTTAAAAATATTATAAAGTTTTTTAAAATTTTATCCTAATTTTTTTTTTGTTTTTATTTCAAAGTGAAACAAAAAAAAAGTAGATATGGCCTATCAGTGCCATAAATTTTTTTTTGAAAAAAAAAAATTACCAGTGGCCTATGAGTGCCATAATTTTTTTTTTGAAAAAAAAAATTACCAGTGGCCTATGAGGGCCATAAATTTTTTTTTTGAAAAAAAAAATTACCAGTGGCCTATGAGTGCCATAGACGGTGGACCATAATGCCCGTTCGCAGGCGGGCGGTTTGCCTTAGATTTGCCACCTTGAAATTGAAACAAACCTGGACCTGAAAGCACGCGCTTTTTAGTTTTATATTTACAGTAAAAGGTATCTGCAGTTCTGTGAATATAAATATTTATAAATATGTCGGCTAAAAGACGCCAAAACTGGGATAATTATAAAGATAAAATCGCAAAAAAGAGAGGAAAGAACTCTCACGGCGAGAAAAATCAATCTTTTAATGTTGAAGGTGGTATAACCGTGCAGCGTTTATCTGCCAATGTCGAAGGCAAATGTCAGAAGTACACGCGAATTGGACCCTTGACATGGGTGCCAATTGAAGACAAAGAAGCCACACTAGAAACCATTAAGGATGCATGCAAAGTTCATTTTGATACTGAATCGGAATGCGATGTACTCGCTGGTGAACGTGGCCCATCGTATACAAGCACATCTCAAATAAAAAATTGGAAAGTGATACACGTGCGATTCATTGAAGGCGCTCAAAACCTTGTCCCTGCCGTCAGCCGTCAAAGTGAGCCTACCAAACATAGCCCAAAGAAACGAAGTATGCACACAAATGTAACGGCGAGATCTGAAAATTTGAGCTCACGATTGCACATGTCTGTGGCGCCATCTATTTCACTTAGTAAGATGCTGAAAATTGGAAAGGTCATAAATCCGGATTCTGACATAATTACATTACATTTGGAGGAGTTTTCGATAGCTAACATGGAATGGTTAATGCCTGTTGAAGTTAAAATATCCCTTCGTAGAATGTCATTTGCTAAAGGATCATTTCGAGAAGCTTACGTAGCGAATGTATTGAGTGGCCTTCCTACTGGCAAATACGTCTTGAAGAAATATTTGAAAGATAAAACCGACGAAATCACAGAATTATTTGGATCGCTTGAGGCACATACGAGGAAAGCTGTACAGCTCAATGCTCTGGCAAGAAACTTTGCCCAAAACATGGCCTCGGAAGTACCATGCTTGGAATTTGGCTCGACCTTCCGTTACAACAAGGTGTACTACTCGGTTCTAAATGAGGAATATGTTACTCTGGAAACATTTCTTGAGGGGACATTTGAGAAATTTATCAACAATGATGGGGAGATATGTTTACAAGCTGGAGAAGAAGCATCTGAAATTGTGTTAAAAGCTGAAGCATTTGTCCATTACACTTATGTGCGTTCAAAGAAGCAGTTGATGGTCACAGACATTCAGGGAGTGGATTATCAACTGTGTGATCCAGAAATTGCATCCTCTGGTCTAACTGATCCCAAAGATGACTCACTATTTTTCTGTATCGGTAACTTGTCGACTGAGGCCATTGGAAACTTCTTTGCCAATCACAGCTGCAACAAGTTCTGTAATTTACTGTCTATTCACTCTGACTAGACTATGTTATTGACAAATTTTAAGAAGGTATTAATCTGGCATTGAATACTGTATATGTAAAATTCTAATGTTGTGGTTGTGTTATGCACTTATCAATGTTTTATGCCCAGAGGGAGGATTAAAGGTCTGTGTAAGAAAAGGAATTTAAATTGCTGCAGTGACTTTGGGTTAAAATTCCATCTTCCACTACCCTGGCCTCCCTCCCTCCCTCCCTGGGCCTATCACAGGATTCACATTGATGTGTGCCAGATATGAGTCACTCTTATGCCCGTATTCTAAAAGCTCACTCGCACTCAATGAGTGGAAGTTCAATCTGAGCTTCTCTAGAGTGTCATTGCTGTGTTTGAATAGCTAGAGGGTCAGTGTCGTACCTTACTATGTGACTACTCACCCTCCAGCTACCCCAAAACATCATTGACACTCAAGAGAAGCTCATATTGAACCTCCACTCATCGAGTGTGAGTGTGCTTTTAGAATACAGGCATTAGTCTAGATGTTGGTCTAGATGCGTTAGTCTAGATGCTGTTGGAAAAACAACCAAAGTGCTAAGAACTTTTAAAATAATATGTTTATGTTGATATTTTTGGAACTGAAGATTTGCATTGATCTTTTTGAGATATTTCCATGTTCAATTCAATGTTTTTAATAATCAGTAAAATGTGAAAACTGGACTATTTACATTATGGCTTCATCAAAATTAGCTTTCAAATATAAGTATGCATTTGCAGCTTGTGATGGTTCAATGTCATCAGTGTTAGGAACATGTCTTTCACATTCATTACGGAACGCTTCATCTAAATAGTCATTAGTTCCATCAAGAACACTTGATACTGCTGCCACTTCTTGGAGTTGTTCATCTGTGAGGGCAAGCCCACACCTTTCTCCATATTCATCTGGGTAGTGGTAAATGTGTTCTGGTACCCCAGTAGGTAGTTCTTTGTCTCGTTGCTTACGCATTCGGTGATTATTCCACACTGATACTCGAAATATGTCCAACTCTTTTTGCAGAACAGGGACATATATATATGCCAAAAGGTTCCTAGATAGATAGATATAACATTTGCAGTTCTATGCCTTCTAACTGTGTTCAACAAATTTGGTAGAGTATAAGACCTTTTTAAAAATGCAATGGGTCATTCCAGAAAACATCCATACCACCCCCACGGAGGAAATTGGAAGTTAACACCCGCCCCCCACCCCATTCGGATGTTCTAATACATTTACTATTATCAGAAACAATTTTTTCTCCCCTCCCCCTCCGGACAGCAGAAATTTCCTCCGTGAGGGGAGTGTGGATCTTTTCTGGAACGACCCAATGCACCGTAAAGGAGTACTGTAAAGGATAATTTTTGGGTCATTATGGAATCATAAAATTACTCAAGATTTAGCAAAAAGAGACAGTAAATTTCCATATCACCTGTCGGTTGCATCATCGGGACAATAATTTCCATCTTCAACCAGTGATGATAATTGATTCTTGAAGAACCTCTCCATTCTTTCAAGAAGTTCACGCCACCACCTTTCAATCTTGTTTTGGGTAGATGGCCCAAAGATAACAGAATCAGTTGGATCATCAAGATCTTCAAACTTCTCTCGTAGGAAGCAATGCATTGTGGTTAATATTCCTGTTTCTGTCCCTCTGTCCACTCTTACATTTAGGGGAAGCACTATGCAAATGATGCAATGAGAACAAATTAAATTAAACCAGTAATCATAATATTTACAATGATTTTATTTTTTTCAAAATTAGAACATGTATAGCTTTAATTAAACAACTATTAGAAATTAGAAAGATTAATTTAATTAAATTAATTCAATTAATTTATTAACTTTGCCAGATTTAAACAACATTAACACAAAAAAAACTGGTAGGGCAATCATAACAGCTTGCACCAATTACTGCGATCCCTAAATGTCAGACAAATACACTATATACGTACATAGAAAAAATCAATTAATAACGAACCATCAGATTCAACTTTTTACATTGCAACCCGCAGGACCACTTCCATTATCGGAAGCTGACTGGGTCAAAAAATGTTTGAAACCCTCACAATCCTAAACCTTCAGCAAAACCTGGATAGGCCCCAAATATACGAATGTGAAAAGGTACTTTTGAAAACTAAATCTAAAAACAACACGTTATCGGCCTTGTCATGTCGCGAGCTTGGTTGCATTTAAGCAAATTGCGTCCTCATTTTTTATGCAAAATATGCAGTTTACTGGCATAGTGGGCAGAGCAGCCAACCAGTACAGCATGTTTATTGGCCAGAAAATGTAATTGTCTGGCCAAAGCAATGGCAGTAAACATGTGTAGCTTCGGATGTAATGTATCAGTCAAATCCAAGCGTGCCCATCACCCTCCCCGGGCAAACCCCTGGGATTTTGACAATTCCCGGGGGGCGGGAATAAAAAACACGTGAAAATGCCGGGCAGTGGGGTAAAAAATCAGTAGCAAATCCACCACCCCGGGGACAGCTGGACTGTTTCGCTAAGAAGAGCAGATTATCCAATTACCTGAAAATATAAATGAGAATACTTTCTTCGATCGGCCAAGTATATCACCCAAGTATTTCGCCTGTGTTGCAGGCTACCAAGCATTGTACGTCATACTCTAGCGCGTTTTCATCATGCTTTAGCGACTATAGTGCACATCCAAATTCTTAATTTCAAATGCCCTGCCCCCGGGCAAAGGTTTGAGTTCAAATGCCCAACCCCCGGGACGTGCTTTATAGGAAAATGCCCCGGGGTAGCCCGGGGGGGGGGGTGTGCATGCTTGGATTTGATTGATGCATAATTCAGTTTTAAACATTCCAATGCAGGTTTTATACCTCTTCTTTCACAAAGATAGTCCATGTAAAATCTTCCAATAATTTTTGGATTGCTGTTTGTTGTCCAAATTCTTAAAAAGTTGATGCGAGCAGTGTATGTGTCTTGCCCACCATATATACAGAGTGGAAATGTAGAATTCTGATAGCCACAGAGCTTATCATGGCCGTCCAGAGACATAGTACAGTCTGCTCCCTATTGATTTTTAGAACAAGAAAGTTTATTTAGCAATTCATACTGACTTCACTCCACGTTTCATTTTTTAACGAAATACATACCCCTGTGACAAAAGAACTATTCCTCTTGGGTCGTTTTGCCTTTCCTACACCCCCTCTAGCTTCTAGTGCTTGAGGACATAAATTCCCCATCACTGCGTACACGAGATCTCTAGGTACACTGAGACCGTGAACCTCCCGTAACTTTTGTTGCATTGCACGATATCCGAGAAGTTGTCCAGGGCCCTCTAGTTCTCTCCTTACTGCTTCCTCTACAGTAGCAACATCTACCTCGTAATCAGTGAATTTAGTATCAAAATATTGTAATCTGCGGGACAAAGTCCGCTCACTCCAAGCGTACATGGGGTACTTTGTCTGAATAAAGTCCAATATCTCCTTTTTCCGCCAATTTCGCTTTACATAATCGGTTAAGTCATTTTGAGCTCGAGGTCACCTATCCAATCGCCATTTCTGATGCGGTCGGCAGCCATATTTATTATTTACCCTCTCTCTTTGAAGCCTGAATTGCATTATGGTCTATGGCACTCATAGGCCAATGGTAATGTTTTTTTTCAAAAAAAAATATTATGGCACTCATAGGCCACTGGTAATTTTTTTTTTCAAAAAAAAAATTATGGCACTCATAGGCCACTGGTATTTTTTTTTTTTTCCAAAAAAAAATTATGGCACTGATAGGCCATATCTACTTTTTTTTGTTTCACTTTGAAATAAAAACAACAAAAAAATTAGGATAAAATTTGAAAAAACTTTATAATATTTTTAAAATATTTTATTTAATATTTATTTTATTTTTCTTATTTAATATTTTTTTCATTTTAAATTTTTTCATACAAAATATGCAATTGTTAACAGATATTTCTAATGGCATTCCTAGGCCACCATACTCTTTCTTGGTTTGTCCACTTTTATTTTACTTTTAACATACAAAGTAAAACCTTTAAAAACTATATATATCGTTTTGTTTACTTAAACAGGCTCATTACGTTTTTCACCCGTGGTCCTACTGACCCTATCGCATTTCTATAAACGTCATGTTATACTAACTGTTCATCGAACACTGTCTAACACTCTCCCCCACTAAACAAATGGCATCCTGTGGCATTTGTCTTATTTGCGAGTATCTATTTTAACTCTAAATCAGTCTTCGTTTACATCACAGTTCGTTTGGCGTAACGTCCTATTCCAATAGGACAGTGGTTGGGTTGATCAGACTTTTCCGTTGCCGAGTCTCTAATAACTTCTTAATATAATTGATTTTCTTAGGTATCCGTAATACTTCAGATAGTCTGGATCAACAAATCCTTGGACATGGAACTTTCAACCAAGTTTTTTTCTCTTTTAATTTTAAAATAGCAATATAATATAATGATATTACTGACTTCAACTCAGTCTTCGTATCCTATCACAACTGCATGGGAAACATGTGGTAGTTGTAAGACCATGGATGTTGTGTTGGCATCGGGACTTGATAAAGTTGAGGAACAGGTTGCTGGAAATTATAGGGTTGTGGGACTGGTTGTTGGAATTGATAAGGTTGTGGGACTGGTTGCTGGAATTGATACGGTTGTGGGATTGGTTGTTGGAATTGATAAGGTTGTGGGATTGGTTGTTGGAATTGATAAGGTTGTGGGATTGGTTGTTGGAATTGATAAGGTTGTGGGATTGGTTGTTGGAATTGATAAGGTTGTGGGATTGGTTGCTGGAATTGGTAAGGTTGTGGGATTGGTTGCTGGAATTGGCAAGGTTGTGGGATTGGTTGCTGGAATTGGTAAGGTTGTGGGATTGGTTGCTGGAATTGCAAAATCATGGCTCCACAATGATAACAGGCTGCATGTCCAGGTACATAATACATGAGACGTTGTGGGGGTTGTCTATTTCTCTGGGGACGATTTGCAACATTAGCATCTACTGTTTCTTCTGTGCCGGCTACAGGATCGTTGTTTGGAACGTTATTGGGTTCTGCTTCATCAGATTGGTCTTCGCCATCTACAAGTTGTTCCTGAACTGTATTATCTTCAGAACCGCTTAGCTTTACATTATCCTCAACCCCGCTTGATTGGTGTTGTTGAGTTTCTGGTTGTTTCACGATTGGTCGTTTTACATCACTCGAATTTTGCAGTTCCACTCGTAACCGACGTGACACGGAAGGAAATTCATCTTCGTCATCGGATGAGTCAACAACGTTCTCGCCAATGGATGTGTCTTGAACAGGTATTCTGTGTTGTCGAGGTTTTGGTTTGGCTGATTCGCTTGTGAGGTAATCACATGGGAGTAACATGTTTCGGTGTAGTGTACGGTTTTTTTTTGTTGTCTTGGACTCTGATCGAACTTCATACACAGGGCTGTCTGGCCCTTTTCTTGACACCACTATGTGCACCTCCTCCTCCCAAAAAGATCGTAGCTTTCCCAGGCCTCCTCTAGGCGAGAGATTATGAACCAAAACTTTGTCTCCTTCATTTAACATTGTTGATCGAGCTTTCTTGTTGTATTGTTTCTTTCCCCGTTTTGCGTTCTTGTTCGCTGCCGTTGAAGCTTTCGCGTATGCTTCTGCATTGCTGTTTTCCATTTGGCAATGTACTGAGGGTACCCGGTTGGATCATTTGCCTTTTCCATCTTAAATGCAAGATCAATTGGCAATTGCGGAGATCAACCAAACAACAAGAAAAACAGAGAGTAACCAGTTGTTTGATGACGAGTACAATTGTACGCATGTACTAACTTCGCAACGTGATCTTTCCAGTTTGATTTATGTTGTTCAGGAAGGCTTGTAAGCATGCCAAGAAGTGTCCTATTCATGCGTTCCACTGTGCCATTTCCTTGTGGGTGATAGAGAGTTGTACGCAAATGACCAACTCCTGACAACTTCTCTAACCTATTGAACAAGTTATTCTCAAATTCTTTACCCTGATCATGGTGAATTCGTTCAGAAAATCCAAATCTGGGAATAAAGTCGTTGTATATCTTGTCAGTGGCCGTAATCCCCGCTTTGTTTTTAATAGGATATGCTTGTGCGTATCTTGTAAAGTGGTCAACCACTACTAATATATATTCATAACCTCCCGAGCTACGTTCAAGATGGACAAAGTCGATACCAATAAGCTGAAAGGGGGAAGTTGTGGTAATGGATTGAAGTGATTCTCGAGTTGGTAAATTGGGTCGTTTCTGTCTTAAGCAGCCGCAGACGTGGTAACAAAGTGCTCGATGACCCTTCTTATGTATGGCCAGTAAAACCGTTCCCTCGCGAGATCCAAGACTCTCTCCGATCCCAGGTGACCCATGTCCTCATGTAACTCTTTGAACACACGTCTACGGAATTCTTGCGGGAGCACCACTTGTGACCAATGGTACAAGATATTAGACTTCGAGTCAATTCGTAGTTTCGGCAATTCAAATAAAAACCGTTTCACCTCAGCTGTTTCATGTTTTTGTTCTTTCAAGGTGGGAGTTTGCCGAGACTTGATGATATCTATTACACGCTTGATGTTTCGATCTCTGTCTTGGACTTGTGCAATGTCTACGACGTTGATTTGACCACAGCTAGGGTTGTGCAAAAGAAACGTTTCATCCTCGTATAGCAAGCTTTGATCAGTGGTAAGCGATGATAGCCAAGTTACATCACCATTGCCCTGAGCACAGATGGATGTTATAGTAGCTCCTAGCTCTTCCTGCGAAACTGCTTGAGTGCACGACGCCATATACTGTTCAAAGTATCCAGGAAGTCGAGACAAACTGTCAGCATCGGTATTGCTTGCACCGGGACGATATTTAATGTTGAAATTGAAATCAGATAACTCGCCCACTTAGCATAATCCCGTGGCATTTAATTTGGCAGTGGTTAGAACATAGGTGAGTGGATTATTGTCCATAAATACAGTAAACTCTGGTGCGTAGTATAAGTAATCGCGGAACTGTTCCGTCACCGCCCATTTTAACGCCAGGAACTCAAGCTTACCCGAGTGGAGATGGTAGTTGTTTTCTGCTGGACTTAACGTTCTCGAGGTATAGGCAATGACTCTCATAACACCAGATTGTTTTTGGTAGAGTACTGCACCCAATCCATCCTGCGAAGCATCCGTATTCACAATAAACGGTTCAGTATATTGAGGATATGCAAGGATAGGTGGTGACGTGATTCGTTCCATTAGGATGTTCAGTATATCAGCATGTTCTTGCGTCCATTGTATAGGTGAATTTGACGATCGTTGATTGTTGGAATTCTTGCTCGTGTTTCGTTTAGTCACATTTGAAGTCTTCTCTGCTTTCTCCAGTTTCTTGTCCCAGTTCAACAGATCATATAGTGGTTTAGCAATTTTTGAGAAATTCGCTATTGAACATCGATATACGAAGAAGACCCATTATTTTACATACTTCTCCGACAGTTTTGGGTCCAACTCCTTTCAATTTCGTTACCGCCTCTGTTGCTTTGGGATCCATTCGGTATCCGTTTGCTGAAATGATTCGCCCAAGGAATGTCACTTCTCTCTTAAATAATTTGCACTTCTTCGGCTTTAGCTTGACGCCATATTCCTTCAGTCTTTGCAAAACTTGTTGTAGGTGGTGTAAGTGTTCGCTGAAAGTCTTAGAGTAGACAATAACATCGTCCAAATACGGTATACAGATATTATCCCTTAAGTCGTCGAGACAGTTCTCCATAAACCTCTGAAAATTTGCTGGCGCGTTGGTCAACCCAAATGGAATCCATATCCATTTGTATAAACCCCAAGGGGTTATGAAAGCTGTCATTGGCTGGCTCTGCCTATCAACGAAACCCTGATGATAAGCTTTACCTTGGTCAAGTACACGAAACCATTGGTTCCCACCAAGGTTGTCCAATGTTTCTTGTATACAAGGTATCGGGTGACGATCCGCAACCGTTTTCTTGTTCAAACTTCTATAATCCACGCATAAGCGCATCCCACCATCCTTCTTTCGTACACACACCACACTGCTAGAATATGGTGATCTTGATTTCCGGATGAAATTTCTATTTAGCAGGTCCTCGATGTATGCTTTTACCTCTGGGTATAACGGTCGTGGGATGGAAAGATAATTCTTCTGTACTGGTTCATGGTCCGTCAAGTTGATTTTCATGTGTAATTTGATGCACCCGATATCTTTGTCATCTTGTGCAAAGGCGTCCGCTTCCTGACATAACATTTCTAGTCTACTTCAGGAACTTTAGATTCTTTGGGTCCATTCGAGTTTGATTTACAACTTGTTTCCGACTTATCAGCAGGACTGTCTTCCTGGTATTCCGTACCCTCATCACTTAATTTAACTTCTAGTGGAGTTACAGAACGTACTAACTGAAGACGACCAAGTTCTAAGCATTTGGGCAAAACAATATCACGTCCAGTAGTATTTGAGACTGGGATATCTATAATGCTGGACTTTCCCATTTTGATGGTGGTTAAAGTTTCCTGGATTGTCAGACCAGAAGGCCAATTGGCTTCTTCGTTCGGCTCAAATAGCACTGGGCTATCACGCTGCACCGGACCAGTGTTAGCGCGGCACGACACATTAACTGACTCTCCTTTTGGAATAATAACATTCTTTTTTGAGGTTCTTACACACATAGACTTTCACTAGTGTCACTTCGAATAAAGTTAATCAGAGCGTTTGCATCCGTTTTCACAAAACTTCTCGTTACAGCTGGTAGCACCTGTTCGAGATTATTATCCTTAATAAACAGTTCGATTACATTATAACCGATAATTGGAATGATAAGTTCTTCGCTGGTCACTAAGAATGGTACTGAAATTTCACTTGTCGCACCATCCAATAGTCTAAAGTTTATTCCTACCCATCCATTGTAGGGAATCCGAGTCCCATTAGCCGCCTCTAGCTTTACGTCTGCTCCACTTGCTAGCAATTCTCTAATGTCCTTAACCAAAAGGTTGGGGAAATTTTCACGCAGTACTCTTTCTGGTATTATTGAAACCTGGGCTCCTGTATCCCATAACACGTCAGTTTCTATACCATTAAGCTCACATCGAACGTGACACCTACTAGTTTCGCCATAGTATTTCTTTGACTGGGCGTACGGTGACTAATAAAAACATTTTCATCAGCTGAATCTCCTAATCCTCGCTCTGTTGAAGTATAAAGGTTCTTAATAGCTGTACAAAGTGTTTTGTGTTCATCCCAGTGTGTCTTTTGGCAATTACGTGAACAATATCGCACAAGTTTACACACAGAACAAATATTAAATTCACCAGACACTGTTTCTTCCGTTGAGCAGTTATTACAATGATGGGACTTTGTTGATTCTTTTGTGGGGCTACTCCCTGTCCCTCGGGGGCAGCCCTTTCCCGTTTCCCTGATTCCTATTTTTAAGCCTGCAATATCATGCAATGTGGTTTGAACCACCACAAATGAAACAATGATCACATGCATTGGGCATACCCTCATCTTGACATTTCTGACATCCATGCTTCGGCTGACTAAGCGGTACATACATACCACTTTCCTCTCTGCTTTCCCGTTTGTGTCCTTTAGATACTGTCTCTTGCAGTGTCTTCATTTCGGTTTGCATGGTAGCCATGTCTGACTGGACTGCTTTAAGAGCAGCTAACACTCTTCCATCTTCCTTCTTTTCCTTAATGTTACTTTTTGCCATTTCCAGAGAAGATACACTTGCTTGTTTAGCTCTGCCCGAAGCACCAAATTTATTGAGGCGCTCTGTTTCGGCCGACATTGCCATACTCATTGCCTCTATGAGATCTTCATCTGCAATACTTGGGTTCTTGAGTGTAGGTCTCCTCTTAGCACGGATAGTCTCGTCAATTAAACTGGTTTCTAAGGCATGGAGGAAAAGTCCTTGAACAGAACTTTCGTCATAGTTGATATTACTGCCCGACTCCTTTGATGCAAATATAATTTTCTGTCGAACAGTTAG